TTACTAATGACTTAATTTCAACATTTCCGAACACAGCAATAGCACTAAGAATATTACTTACATTGCCGGTTTCAGTTGCATTTGGTGAAGGGTCCTTTTCAAAGTTAAAATTATAAAAAAACTATTTAAGATCAACAACGCACCAGCAAAGATTAAGTAATTTAGCTATATTTTCAATTGAACATGAAATCTTAGACTGCTTGGATACATGAAAATTGATAGCAGATTTCGCAAACATAAAGGCAAGAGAAGTTCAATTTCTATAGATAAATATTTATATGGTTTTACACTTAAGTAAACAAAAATAACTTAGTAATAATAAATAGATTTTCTCTGTAAAGTATTTTTTTCTTTTTTCAAACCCTTGAGACAACACTAAAGAGCCTTTCTGGCAAGCTCAGCGTAGGTAATCGTAGTTAAACAGGGGGTGGCATAATCGGTATTGCACACAGGCGTTCAAACTGCTAGTGGCGCCCCTCGGTGAAACCATGATGTTTTCTCTATAATTTACTGCCTGCCCCTCTCTCTGTAGCCTTATGAATGTGCCATGCTTCTGCATATTTAATCCGTCCTTATCCTGCATCTTTTGGAACATTTTTGCTCAGTTCCATTCTATCATTATGGAATTAGGGTCTGCTATAGAATAAGTAATGTTTGGTAATCTCCTTCAGATAGGTCATACTAAGAATCAATAAAGCCATAATACATTCTTATTTGAGTTGTTATTTAACAAAGTACCTCATAGCATGCAAGGAAATCTTATCTCTCTTACATAATAAGATATACGATTAAAATTAATTTTTTCAGCATTTAGACAGCCAAACTAGAACTTTATTTTATTTCTATAGAAATTAATCATCATTTTCAACGTAATGAAAACAAAATTAATCAAATTATTTTGTTTGTAAAAACAAAAACAAAATTACTTTCAATAAATGAAAGGCTAAATTTTTCAGCTGCTGCCTAACAGATCTCAAATAGAAAAATATCTAATCTTGAATAAAGTTGCAAATCATATTTACATAAAAGATACTATTTTTGATTTTATATCTTATCTATTGATTCTTAAATATTTTACTATAATAATATATTTGTGAATGAAAAAAATTCTACTAACCTCTTCCACATACTTCGCTCAAAAGTGCAAGTTTTGGTTTTCGTGGACGATGAGGTCCTTTCTTTTGAATTTGTTCAACAGCTGTCTCATCAGTCAAGATAGCTTGTAACTTAATTAAGAAATAAAAGAAATTATTTGATTTTTTGAAGTTAATCAGTTAATTATACATTCTAAAAAACTTACTTGATCACACATAATGGCTATAACAAATATTCCAAATAGGAAGCTTTCAATAAGAAGAATAACAGAATGGATCCTAAAATTTAATTTATTTAAGTTAAAAATTAAATTAAAATTAAAATATATGAAAATTAGATTTTCCTACTTACACTCTATGTTGTTTAAAGATTATATCTAAATTACAGTCTTTGCACTCTTTTATCCATGATATCACAACAATTACAATTGCATATATGCTGGCCACACCTATTATTTATCAAAAAGTAAATATAAAAATTTATGATTAATTTTTAATACAAGTATTTTATACCAAATATAGCAAAATAACTAATTTTTCATTATACAGTAATACCTCGACTTACGCTACCCCGACTTACGTAAACCTGGAGTTACACAATTTTCAAATCTCGTTGATTCATCTTTTGTTTGAGCGCCACGCAACCCTTGATTACTCACTCCTCCCACACTATTGTTCAGCTTATGTTTGGACGTGTCGCGCAGAATCGATGCATAGCTACAATTTATTTTGTGTTATTTATTTCTGTATTTGTTATATCTATGGAGACTTGAGAGACTCTATGTGGTGATTTCTTGTAACCGTGAATGAATCAAAGGACGAGATAAGATTTATGAGAACATTTCTTAGTTTGCATACATCCAACTTGGATTTTACACAAATTGCGAAATTATACCCTGACTTACGCGGTTATTGCTCGGTCCCACCTATCGCGTAAGTTTGGGGTATTACTGTATTAATATATAATAATGACAATAAAATATATAAAAGATATAAAATATACAACAACAATATACAAAGTTTTAATAATCAGATACAGTCAACTTATGTTAATACAAATCCTTAGAAAAATAGTAGTTAGTTTGCTTTATCAAAAACTCTCATTAACAATTTTCAGGATCAAGATCAAGTAATTTAAGGAGTTAAGGCTTAACAGGCAATCAAAATGTCTAAATTATAATATTTTGAATTAATTTATTAAATAAAGTTAAATGTATTTACAAAAACAAATTAATGTTCTAAATGATTTTCAAATCAAACAAAATGAGGATTTGAAAAGACAATACAGTAAAACCTGCATTCGACAGGCACCTGTCAAAACAAACAAAAACTTCTGGCAGGCAATAGTTTATACATAGTCTTCATATAAGTTACATGTATTAAACAACCACCTGTATAACACAACCACAGGTATTGATTTTTGGTTGGAAACAACATACAACAACTGTAATAAGAGACCACTTCTGTGAATATATCTGGTTTAAACTATTGTTCGAACCCATCTCAACAATGTTTCCCTCTCCTAATATAATGAATTAGTCTAAACTCTTGTTTGAACCCACCTCGGGCATTTCTCCCGATCTTGAAATTAGATGCAGGTTTTAACGAATTAGTTTAGCTACAAAGGAAATTCATTTCAGTTTGTTCGAAAATGTCGGCAAACGAAAAAATACAAAGTGTTGTTGTTGGAAGATCGTGTTAGTTATCAAAGAAAGTGAAAATGGTTTAACACAATGGCAATTAGCGGCAAAGTTTAACTGTGGGAAAACAAAATTTATTGTACTGTAGACCTACAGTATTTTTCTTATTGGTATAAAATATTGTACATGATACAATTAATTGGTTGATCTCATCATTGATAAAATTTGTTTATTTTATTTAAGCTCATATATGGTACATGTGCAATAAATAGTTTCTGTATCAACCTACCTTATTTCCACGATATTTTTATAAAAATAATATCCAAGTAATTTTCGCACACAAAATATTCAAAAAACAATAAACACATTAATGCAAAAATCAGTTTTACAGGCGACCTTCCCTTTTCAATTTGGTGATTATCATTGATGTAATGAATTTGTATTATGAGAAGAAATAATAAAATCGTTTCATTATTAATTAATGAATTTTTCTTATTGTACTTAAGAAAATATTAAATATTTTAAAAAAATACAGTATTTTAGAGTTAAAATAAGATTAAACTAACGAAAACCAAAACTGAAGTGGTGGAGAGATATGACACCCTTCTACATTTTTTAAGGTCTACTCCAGGTCCATGTGCATTAATTTTAGAAAAGAGATGCCTCCATCAATGGCATGGCAGGCTTTACTGAACAGTGATATTTAATTTTTGATCTTTTTTAAAAATGATTACGGGAACACATGCACAGAAATTCCATTTTTCAAATTCTTCATCTTACAGTTCAATTTTATAATTGAATTTTATATGCAAATTTTTATATTCTAATTTTATATGAGTATTCTCAAATGAAACTAGAAGATCCAGCTTAAGAAAACCTGATGAAGATCCCAGAAGGAGCTGTGAAAACGTTTGATTTTATTGATTAGATGTACTTTGCATTGGTTAATGGTTCTAGAAAGTCATTTTTTTATCATTATATGCACTCACCGATATGCAAACTAGCATGTGTTTGCATAGGACTGCATCCATTTAAAAGGGTAGGTATCCTTAAACTTTAATCCCTATTTTCTGAATACAATAAAATGGTCTGCTAAAACCAGATGTTTGAATTGCTCTATAATAGAAGGTTGAATCCATCTTTGCTTACTAAGAGAAGAAAATTTATTCTTCTCAAAATGGAACATTTATTACACTTCCACTTCTTATTGTTCACTTGAAAAAGTGTAAAAAGCAACTATTATTGGAAATAGTTATTTCTTGAGGTTGTAAAAGTATTTACAGTTCAATTTAACAAATTCTGAAAAATTTTTGTTCGGTTTATTGTATGAAAATTAACAATGTGACAATGGCAAAATTCACTTTAATATGAGAATTTGCTTTATTGGTGTTTGTTTTAAGGCAAATCAGCTGTATATCTACAAGGTGGATTATTTTCTGGCTTTTAGAAATATTTAGCATATCTATGTTGCATATATGATTTTAGAAATGAAGACAAGTTTGAGGAAAAAATATTTATAAATAAAATAAGCAAAATATCTGATCAAGTTATACTCAAAAATAATTTGATATAAAAAAATTGACAATATTTAAAAAAAAAAAAGGCTGTTTAGTTGCTTTTATGATTCAGAACATTCCTAGAACTTATATTCTTAATGATAACATTTCCATAATGAAGAGTGAAAGTATATACTTAAGATAAGAATATATATCTGATGTTGGAGATTACACTTACAACACTGCTATACTTAATAACATTAGCATGAAGTCTCACTTCTGGACAGCATATTTCTTTATACAAAATCAAATGTCTGAAAGTCAAGCAGTAAAGTTTTATGTTATGAAAGAGTTTTGTTCACTATAGAGCTAGAAATAAAAGTTATAAAAATCTCTTATTAAGGTAAAGTTATTTTTTTACAGTGAATATGTCATTCTAAGTAAATTAAAATGACAAATTTGTAAAAAAAAATAACAACAAAATGCACTTCTACACATTATCATCATATTTCAATAGCTTGTACCAGCCAGCTATCATGGATAAGGAATTAGGAAGAACTACATGATTGACCTGATGACTAGTCCTGTAATATTTAATAATAAAAAGTGTGCTGCAACATTTGCATAATTGTTCAAATGTGAATCTAAAAGGTTGAAACCATAATTATAATGCATAATTATTTAAACTGTTTAAAACCCATAAATTAAACAGAAAACAGAAATTAATTTTCACAAACAGTTTTGATATCACTGAAGTCAAAACCAGAAGAAAATACCACCACACAATAACTCAAAATTTTTGTTTTGTCAGCTAAAAATGTACAAATGTTATGAGGAAGTATCAAAATGTTATGTACAAAAGAACAATTCATACAAAAATTAAAGACACCTACATATATAAATTTTTCTAACTTCATAACCGATGAATGAATTGATTACTATAAATTTTACAGAAAATGTCAAACATTATATTATCATAGAAAATGGTAGAATGTTTCAGTTTCTCCACAAAAGATATTTTATTTTTTGATAAAATATTTGACATCATTTCTGAACATAACCTTATTGGAAATGTTTCTAAGAAATAAAAAAAAAAAGATACAAGTAACTAATGTTAGAAAACACTTTACTTCTAATTAGAAAATTTCCAAATTTATCAATTATTTTACTTTATACAGAAATGTATGTTCATAATAAGAGGATTGATAGGATAAGACAATGCAACATATGGATGATCTGTCAAGAGAGCACCTTTGAGAAGGGCTTTCTATAAGAAACTGACCCTATTTACTTGTTACATGTGAAGAAAACCTTGAAAACTCCATGCAACTAGCCTGTTGGTCAAGAACAAATCCATGACAAACTACCAGTGTTCAGTGGTTTTATCCATTCAGACATTGATGGGTGTTGGTTCAATCTGATGTGTATGTAAAAAGTTCAATAAATTCTTGAAATAAATTACAGCATCTAAACATATAAAGCAACATTTTTAGATTCTGTTTAAAAATTCTTTACATTTGATTGAAAAACAAATTTTTGTCTTTATTATCTTTATAATTTACAAACAAAACAGAGCTACTTATAAGTGTTAATATCTCTATTAGTCTAGTGTGAACTTCTGATGTGTGGATGGTTTTTAGTACTTCATTTATAGAATTAGTTTCTGAAGATATTCAGGAGTTTAAATAAATACTGTAAGCATAAATTCCTACAAATTTATATTAAATAGAAGAATATCTTAATTTAATTTAAAACTTAAAAATAAATGAGATACTTACCAACATAGAGCAAAAATTGAATGAAATATTTCTGATTAAATTCTCCAACACAATTGTTTATCCTAGAAAATAATTTGTAATAAAACTAATATATATATAATTTTATAAAAACACATTTAAAATTAGTTTATGCTGGCTCTCCACTTAACATGATCACGCATCACCACGTCAACCAGCATCTGATGATCCAGAGATGATGCAATCGCTGCCTATGTGACTACACACTTTGTATGAAATGGAATGTGATTTGCAATGAATTATGGGAATTTTTTAAAATAGCAGCAAAACTTTCAACTTAAAATAAAGTTTTATATTTTTCAATTTAATTTTGTATTTAATTTTTTAAATCTAACATTTGCTATTTTTTTTGCATCTTTTCGTAATTTCCACACAATGCTGTTGTAATGCTAAGGATGATGGGTAAAAATATGATGTCATGTACACTTAAAATTATGGGTGCTGCATGCTGATTGGCTGTGACAGAATCACTACACAAAAACATGCATTGTCCCAGTACTCCGTTGCCAAAGTACTTGAAAGTATTTCTTAAAACACATTGTAAAAAATACAAATAATAAAGACTTATATAAATAAAAATACTCTTGTAGTCTTGTTGTTCTTTTCACAATCACAGAAAACATGATCCACATTATTTGTATAAGTTCTTATTAACTATTTTTTACAATATGTTTTAAAAAATATATTTCATCCTGGATTTTTTACAATTTTCCTTTACTTAAAGGTAATTTTACTGTTGCACAAACAGTGACGAACATGACTGAATTGCCTCAAAACTGCACTAAGTGGAAAGCCAGCATTACAGTATGTATATTACCAAGGACAATGATGATCCATTCTTCTGATACATCGTTGGCATACACGACAGTGATGGGCTCTTGGAGGACGATATGTCTCACAACGTGAACAAACTGTCCAATCCTCCTAAAATTAATTTTTTTTTATTAAAAAATTTAATTCATTTACAAAAAATTGTAACATAAAAAATTTGAAAATTAAAAAAACAAATTATAAAACTTACTTCATATAATCAAATAACTGTTAAATTTATGTTAACTTTCTTCTGAAAAATCTGTAGCTTTATTCCTTATATTATTAATATTTCAAAATGAAAATTTACCATTAATTAACAGAGTTCAGGAAATGCAGGAGACATTTCCTAAACCTGTTAATTAAACTCTGACAGACTGTTTAAGTCAATACCATAAAGTGGAGTTACTTTGTGTCTGCTGGAGAAATTTTGCATCACACTAGAACAACTTACTCTGAATATGGTGGGTTTATATCAATTTCAAAAAGTGACAGGGTAAAATTGTGACACATAATTTTCATAGTAAAACTTATTGTTTTACTATGAAAATTATGTGACAACTATGAAAATTATGTGACAATTATAAACTCTGTGATTCTGTGTGTAAAGAAATGTTAAATATTCCTAAAATGGCAACTAATGATATATTTGGTCCAATAATCTGGTAATTAACATTAAAAATATATGAAAAGTGTCACAAAATAACCATAGGTTTATGGTATTAAAAACTAGCCTTGTTAAATTTATAACAGATATTATTCAATTTGTAATAAATAAACTCTCAAATTATCTTTCTTAATATGTATAGTTCTAAATTTTTTATTCCAAAATCATATTTTTCTTTCATATAAATTTTAAAATATTGCCAATTTTTCTCTTCTCAAATAATTGATAAATTCTGATATACTTAATTAAAATTACTGTATTTTAAGTTTTTGTCTTAACAATTTTAAATATTATTATTATGTTTTTAACTATTATTAATAGTTATAAATAAAATTCATAGCAGATTTTAAAGAAATATTTACTAAAAATTTTTCATTCTATATTTATGTTTTAAATCATTTTAATACTCAAATTTAAAAATGTAGAAATATTACCAATGTACAGTACATTCCAGTATGCATCAGTTTTAGCCACAATCAAAGCACCTTGAACAGTTTAATAACCTTTTACTGAAACATCTGGCAACCTAACAAGATGGCAGAAGTAAAGAGTGCTATATTAACATTTGAAGACTTATTTTTGTCAAACTAACTTTGAATTAATATAGATAAATAGTAAAATATGTTAATATAAAATATAGAAGATACAAAATGTCTTCATTTCCACCCTTTCCAAAACCAGGAACTAACAGTCTTCCTTAGCAGACAAAACCTTTTATTGTAGGCTACGACTCTGCTACAATATGCAAAACAGTTAAAAATGTTCACTAATGATAAGTCATAAAATCTTGTAAAAATTGTATACTTAATTTAAAAATGACAGACAGCACATTTACAATATATATAAAAATACAGAATCTTCTGTATTTTTTATATATATTGTAAATATTCCATCTGCCATTTTTAAATTAATTAAATATGTTAATAGTATATTGCCATATTGTTTCATCAGAACTCACTATAGCCACAGTCTAATGAGTACAATGTGCATCAGATGCTGCACCAATAAACTCATCAGTGAACATTGGAACACATTTTAATACATTATGTACACTGATGTGTCGTTTGATGGATACTGAAATGTTCCCAATAATTTAGTCTAAACCAATTTTTTGATGTATTATATTGTGAACAAAGAATTGGTGCATACCGGAACAATATACAAATAATCCTTCAAAAAACCTTTAACTGGCGTGAAGTGTGTTCAATTCTTGACGCTAACGTTTTCGGAAGGACCCAGGAGGGATCCAAAAATGTTAGCGTCAACAATTGAACATACTTCGTGCCGGTTAAAGGTTTTTTCAAAGGATTATTTGTATTACATTGCTATATTTGCTCAGATTTAAATTTATAAAAAGTAAACATTGTAATTTAAATTACTTAATTTACATCATATGTGTTTACCTTTTGAAGTGGAACTCTATTTCCAATATGCATATCAGAAAAGTCTAGATTATTGTGTGGTAATGGAACAATTCCTGGGTCTGAAAAAACTGCTCGAATGTGTGCCATTACAAGAAGAAAAACAACAATGTTGAAACAAAGGACATTGAAAGCACCCCATAAACTGTAAGAAAAATAAATTATTTTTATAAGTTACAGATATATTTTATTGTTTTGAAAATTACTCATTAAAAAGTAATCACAACATAAAAATAACATTACTTATAGTAATAAAGTAAACAATATCATCTAGTAATATAGCATATGTTTTATTTCACTTCTATTTTAATATAAACTATAGTAATTAAAATCATTAATATGTCATTATTAATAAGACGTAAAACTTTCTATAATCTAAAAGACAAGATTGAAACAATATTGAGTTATCATTTAGTTAATATACAGGGTGGGGCAGAGAAAAGGGATATTATAAAAACTCAATAGCTCAGTAAAGTGGTTTATTTAAAAAATACAAATATATCAACTTAATGGTAATAAATAAAAGCATTTTATGTTTTTGAAAACTACATCTTTAAGATGACCTCTGTCTCTGAGCAGATATTCCTCTAGTCTTGAGTGCATATCAATCATTACACACAGCAACATTTTCAATGGAATTCTCACTATTCCATCTCAATTTTTGAGTTTGAGATCAGCAATATTGTGCAGGAGGTTAATGTACACTTTGATTTTCTAATATCCCCATAAAAAAATAAATGAAATAAAAATCACACAGCAACAAATCGGGTGATCTTGTGGGTCAAGAAATGTCACCATTCTTGGAAACATGACTTGGAAACAACTATCCTACAGCAGTAAAGGATAGTCTGGCTGTGTGAGCTGTTGCTGCATCTTGTTGAAACCATGTCTGCTCATTAACAAGAAGAAATATGGTTAATTCTTGCATCAGAAACATCAAACTGCAAGGCTGTGTGCAGAGATCTGTGGACTAAGTTCAATGGTGGCTCTCATATTTGTGATATTTTCTGGTATATGTAAAATTCTTGCTGTATCCAGAGGCTTTTTTTTAGTGTAGACAGTTTCCTCAGAGCTCTTAATCCATGTCATAATGGCATGTCTAGATGACACAAGATTATTTCAATGAATGTTGAACTGGTAACAAAATAACTGTTGAGTGGCCACAATACAATCATTATTTTTATAATATGACTCAATGGTAAACACACATTGTGTACATGTCCACTAGTTCATGATTATAAATGCTATACTCTTGACAACACAGCATTGGTAAGCAAGCTTGCACTATCCATGAATAACCAGAAAAATCAACTGTGAAAATCTCTTATTTCTCTGCGCTACTCTGTATAATTTACTTTAAATTCTAAACAAGTTTGGTCAAGCCGATCTGTGAGTCTGAGGGTTTACAGGGCATAAATTTTTGAGTTAAACATATTTTTACATTAGAGGATGAAAAAAATAATTTATTGCTAGTTATAACGGAAATAGAGAGGATGTCAAATTTTACACATCCACAAGGTAGGAAGGAAGAAAGACAAATCATCGTCCGTTTGTTAATTAGTCAACGTGCATGTGCTAATTAGTCATCATAACGAGTGAACGACCTGTTGGCTCAGTGTCAATGACGATCGTATAAAAACGATCGTCACGGGAAGTTCAGGGTGATTATCCCCTCAGTGCAACCGTCCCTCCGTGCGATCATCTGGAAGGTCTGAGTACAGTGTCTCCCATCCAGGTCCTGTCCGAGGAGAAGCCAGTACAAGACATAAGCCTGTGACAGCCAGCCAGCTTCCATAGTCCAGAATGATTGTTGTATACAACAATCATTCTGGACTATCCAACATAAGGTATACCTGATTGCCAATATAACTCTCTCACTCTAGAGCCTTTGTAAATTCTCTCCCACGGCATAGTGACTAGTTAGATCACCATTATAGATAGATTTGTGTTATCCACATTTAAGCATTAAGTCTAACTTCCTTATGTATACTCCTGTAAATTAATTTTAGTTATAGAATAAACCTTTATTTTGTTATTTGTTAAACCTGTCTCCTGTCTATCCGAGGAAACCTGTTGACTTACTGACGCACTCCCCACTCGTTTTGCCCTCCTAGCTATCTGAACGACTCCGAGATCGGGCTTCACCAGCCTGTGCAGATTAAGTGGTCAGTACCAGATTAACCCCTGACCACTGCTTATCTCACACGATCTGATAGCACATTCCACAAAAGTGAATTAGATATTAATTTTGTTTAAAATAAATTTTATAAATTCTTGAAATCAAGTAGTTGTTGCACATGCATGTGGACATGTGAAATAAATGGATTGAATGGAATATAACACTTAGGTAATGAAAGTGAAGTCATTGTGCATGTGTGTGGACATCTGACAGATGGACAAAAGTCCTAACATAAGCACTTCACCACTGTAGTGGAGTGTGCTAAAAAATACACCTACACAAGGTTTATATCTATTATCTGATATGATCAAGCCATCTAAAGCAAAAACATTTTACAAGAATACATTTTATTTTCTATGTATTAATGCAGAGTAAATTATTTAAATTCTAATTCTAATTTCATGAGATTAAATTCACTGTGTCTTTACTAATTATTTTTCTAGTTTTAAAAATTGAATTTTCAAGATGAGTCAGTCTAGGCATTTGTTTGATTCATCTTTTAATCAAAAAAAGTTCATGCAATTGTACATTTAGGTAAACCTGGCTCAAGTGAATAAATTCAAAACTTGGTTAGCTCGTGATGATGATATTTGTTCAACTTGTTGCATCACATTTGCTGAACTTCATTTAATAATATGATGGAATTAAAGCATTTACAAGGCATGCCAATTACAAGAAGCATGAAAAAAAAAGTGCATTACATTTAACTTCTCTGGTCATTGTATTGGCCAACAAAACAGTTTCCAAAGATGATGACTCTGGATGATATGATGGGATTGTTCTTTGAGTAAAAGGGAATTAGCTGTAATTTCTTTGAGGATAGTGTTGCAATATTAACTATATTTGAAATAAGATTACAAATTTTGTAGTACACAATAAAAGCATGCACATCCACACATAAATGGAAAATTTTCAGGTTTATTTCAAAAGATTAATTCTTTTCCATTTTTAAGCTTGAGGTTTATTAATTAATGAGTGTACTGTACTCAAAGTAAATTGTTAATTTTTCTAAACTAAAATAAACTTTAGAAACTATTCAAAAGAATCAGAATTGGGAGTTTTGGCAAAATTGAAATCGAAATTTGGAGAAATTTTGGTATTGTCCCATCACTAGTGATTATCTACCTTCTTTGATCACCTTGGTATGGTGCACCAGTATGTAGTACCATTGAACACTGCTGTTACCAGACAGTATTACATGTCAGTTCTTGACACTCTTCAGCAACAGCTTTGAAGAAAAGACCACATTATCATGATGGATTTGCAATCCATGCAGATGCATGTCCTGTATGGATGGCAAATCCACCATGATAATGTGAGGCCTCATGTGGCAGGTATTTTAATGGAATATTTAGCCCAAAAAAATATCTCATGTTCCACATCCATCTTACAGCACTGATCTTGTGCCATGTGACTTTTTTTGTTTCCTGCACTCAAAGCACAGTCGTATGGACACCAATTTCTAAACTATGCAGTTGTGCTAAAGCAATCAGAGGTGATTCTGAAAATGTTGTCCAAAAACAGCTTCCACCATATGTTTGAAGACTGGCAAAAATGTATGCACAAGTACAGTTTTAAGGAACCAAGTCCGAGCATTAATTTTATTTACTTTTATATTTGCTTTTTATTCTATTTTTGTTTGGGGCTTATGTTTTGTTAGGACGAAGGTTTCCTCACCATTCACCTTAGAAACTTAAAAATAGAAGAGAAACCAACTCACCAATGAGAGAAAAGCGCCATAGTTAAAAATCGCGCACACTTGTGCTCCAGCGCGAAGAAAAGTAAGTCCGCACCGAGAAAAAGGGGGGAGACCCCACAAGCACAATTTAGGAAACTTGCTAAACCTTAAAAGAATAAAACATCCCGAAAATTGTCAAAAAGAATAATGTAAAAGGTTAGCAAATATTGTTGGAAAATAGGCTGCCAGACAAACAAAAAAAGTTTGTTAGCAAATAAGTATGTAAATGAGGGGAGTGATCGCTATCAGAATTGTGATGTCACCTCACAGTATAAAGTCCGAACCTCAAGTGAAGACAAGCGAGGTGAGCTTCTGTTAGCAACGGGCGTGGTGAGCTTCATAGCAGCAAACAAGAGAGAGATGTCCGATAGGATAAAGTAGTTCCAAAGGCGATTTTGAAGTTATTCGATTTGTGGATCGAAGATTAAAGAAAGTCTTAAGAGTTGAGAAAAAAGGTTCTTAGTATATTGACGTGACGATTAGGACCTTTAATTCATAAGAATTATTGTACATAAATTAAGTCTTTGATTTTGTCAAATTCCAAAGGGGAATAGAGTTAAGTTAGAAATTAGATTGATTTGAGTTTTGTTGGGTTGATTCTTATTGATTTTCATTGAATAAATTGTTGTTGATTTTTACTAAATTTTGTATATAGTTATTATTAGAATTATTTATTAAATATTTGATTTTGTTATTGACAAACTTTGTCATTATTTAATTTGGTGCACACTAATGCGAATCCGCGTAAAGTACCTGTTAGGGAACAGCTATTTCCGGGACACAGTCATGTTGATAATCGTTGGAAAAGTCAGAAAAATAATATAGTACTTTACACAGTCTGTGGGGATTACTTTGAAAAGAACCATGTGCATGTTAACCAACAATAAATACTAAGAAAAAAAATCAGTCATAGTCTTTCTTGAACAGCCCTTGAAACTTTTGAAAATGTCTCTGGATCTCTTAAATAAAATAAAATTAACACAGTTTATATAAAATTTTTATTATGAAAATGGAATATATACAAACAAGAAAACAGAACTTTCAATCATATAAACATGCAGATAAACATACAGTATACAGTTTTTTTTATATGCTCCAGGTTGTAATTTAAAATCACTGTCTTTAGAATGCACACTACAAAGAAAAGATGCTTTTGAAGGTTTAAAGTTTCTCTTTCTTACAGCAATAATCATTTTTTTTTTTTTGTGTAAATCAGGTTTGTCAATGG